GAGTTAAATAGCTTGAGCGCTATACAGAAAAGAAAGTAATCAAAGAATTACACAACTGGATACTGCCATAGGAAGGGATAAATAATATTATAACTAAATCCAAGAGATTTGTATGAGACGCGGAATTTTGATCTCACACTATATGAAAAACGGAGATTTTTTTTTTTGAAGTGAACGATAATAATTTTATTTGTGTAACGTTTATATTGAATGACATTTGATTTGCAATGTCCTGTGACTATTATGTGTCGGCTAATCACAGAAAAAGTCCTATATATAAAATTTTTCAGGTCACCTGATAATAAATAATCAGGAGGATGATACCATTCAGAGTCATATTTAAATGGAGCTTTACAAGCATCCGATATCTTTTGTGTTTCAATTTCTTGGAATATTTCTTTGGGTCATTAAGAAATTTAAAATTTATGATTCAAATTTTGATTGGCGCAAGAAGATACAATGCTAATGCTTTGTAACCAAATTTAAGACCAAATTAATCAAATTAGTATTATTGCAGATACAAAAAATAAGTTCTAGTAATTCACAAAGATAAATAACGTTTCGCCTATATACATAATACCTTATCTTTTTATGAGTGAGGTGTTAAGGGTTAATACTCTAGGCATTTTATATTTGCCATTCTGAGGATTAATGACCTTTTTTTGTTGCCCTGATTTTTTTTCATTTCACCTGACATAAAAATCTCTATAGCACAAACAGCATTAATATTGGTATAGAGTTTTTTTTTTACCAATTATTATTGGGGAGAGCGTATTTAATTGAAAGAAAATTTATTTAGTCGAAACTATTTATTAACTTGCTTCTAATATTTATTAAACTTTATTTATTACCAAGTTAAATTTATTAAAACTTTATCGCAAAGTTATGTTTAAAGTACATCGAATTTAAGCTTCTTATATACAATTAAATGGTTTCAACATCAACACTATTTTATGCTTTACACATAAATGTATGTCTCTGGTGTAATTACAACTTTATGTCTTATCCATAAGGTAATGTTTTAAACATGATATTAGTCATGCTAATTCCTAGCAAATAATAATAAAGTTAAATAATTTTGAGTTTCACGCATTTCTATTGGAAAGCCCATGTGTCTAGCCACTAAGAGTTAGACTTAAAGCTCCGAATGAGTTGAGTTGGAGCTAACTTAATATCTTTACAGCTTGTTCAGAGCTTTATACAAGACCAATGGGTAGAACTCATGGAAATGAGGATACAACAAAAATATCTTCCAGGACATTATATGGCTTTCAAAGTTGATTGGATTTTCATTTCTGCGTGGTTTTGTTGTTACTTGGCAATCATTTATTATGAATAATAATGTCAAATGTAGACATAAAATAAAAAATCCTCAGACTCGAGAACAATTTAATCAGTGGCGTACTAAATGGATTGAATTATATAAAAACGATCCCATGATGCGCAGTTCCATTATTAATAGACAATATGAAGAATATTATATTCCATATAATTGGATAGATTCTAAAAAGAGTCAATTGTGGACTAGATTCCAAAAGCGACTTTTAGAAATAGAAGCGTAAATATATTAATTATTATACACATCTAAAGTATTCTTGAGGGTTAGTACTTTAAACTTTTATTTATTGCTGTTTCGTGATGGTTAAAGGCTATTTTTTGTTTGTTATCATTATACTAATGATTATATAATAATGGTGTGTTGTCAATATGCGATTAACGGTTGAATTTTTAACTACTTTACATTTTTTTTCAAATTCTATAGAATTCAACAGAATTTTTTCCGGGGTATATACAAATGAAATTCAATCAAGCATATACATATCTGATACAGCAACTACCTCCCTCATTAGTGGAAGAAGCATGGAGACGCCTTACTACTCGAAAACGCAATCCTTTTACACTACTAGAAGCATGTGGTATAGATCCAGCTATTGAAGATTTTTTGCAACATGAAATTATAGTTTATAATAGAAAAAAAGAACGCCAACGTCGAAGTTCATCACCACTTGAAAATTTATCACGTGTATATAACACAGAAATGACTAACCAAGAATCCCAAACCCAAGATACTATTCCGATTTGTACATGTGATCAGGTACATAAGTGCCCTTGCTTTGCAAGTAAGGAAGAAATCAATCGCCAGGTTAAGAAAGAGGTCGATATTTTATTTCAGAGATTAATGGAATATAATGAAAAAACTTTTGGTAAATTTATGCGAGAAATTACTATAGAGTATGGAAAGCGGGTTAATGAAAATAAAAAATTGCGATGTGAAATCGAACAACAAAAGATACAATTACAAGAGACAGAAAAATGTCTCGCATATCTGAAGTCACGCTCTATTCATCAAGTTGACTAATTGGCATATCCCAGCCGACACGTATTCTATGCGGGTGTTCTGGAGGTACACTTAAATCGAAGACAATAAATTTTTGTTCACATAAATGCTTATTAACAATTTTATAGACACTGCACCAGTCATTAACATATAAACGAAGTATTCTACTTAACTAATCTGAGGTACAAAAGCCGTTGAACAATACAACATATTTTAAGTTTTTTCTTATTAGTTTTGGACAGTCAAAATAGCTTTGTGAGACATATATCGAAGAAACATTGGAATGGCGCCCCTCTGTAAAATAAGGTATAATCTTTTCTTGAATTTTCTTTGGTTCAGTGCATACATCCTCAAATATAACCACTGTACCTCTTTTCTGGTGAGAATGAATCTAGCTTTGGAATTTTATCTGGTTTCATAGCCCGAAATGTAATATCTTCACAATATGACTCTGGACTATTTGCAATTATTTGGAAAACTGATTTAAGGTACATGTATTTTGGCTTCTTGAGATAGTGACCAATAAGCACGACATCATCACACTTAATATATCTAGTGCCTCCTTGTTTACCATTAAACATTCTATGTAGTTTATTTCCGCCCAAAAGACGAACAACTTCAGTAGATTTTCCTGTATTAGTTCGACCAGAGATTATAAGTGTGAAAGGCCATTGGGGTGTGCTATTTAATGAGTTAATCTTTCCGGATTAACGTATTCGTCGATATTGAGTACAAATTTCTCGACCGGATCAGCTTTCTATTTTCATCCCGATTAAGCTAAGTAATGCTAAATTATTATATCGAAAAATAATGATCTTTATTGTGATATATACATATTCACTGGATTTTTTTATTCTGATAAATCATAGATTCGAACTTGTATTACACCATCTGTATCTGACTCACTATTCGTATCTGAATACCAACCGAAAATATTGAGAGTGGGATTTTTATTCTGTAAGGTTATAATTGCATTCATGCTGATTTCATCGCAATCAGCAATAACAAGCTTCTTGAGATTACACAAATTTGCTAATGCGGACATAGATTTATCAGTAATATCACACCCTTCAAGATAAAGCTGTTCAAGTTCTGGACACAATTGTGCTATTACACAAATAGATTCATCAGATATATGACGCCAAGATACATTGAGATATTGAAGTTTAGGGCACGAGTCTGCAATTATTCTCACGGACGTATCAGAAACAGCTATATTATCCATATCGAATTTACCTTCTTCATCAGCAAAAGAAAAACTAAGCATATTTGGATGTGAAATAGCTATAGCGCAAATACCATCATCTGTTATCTTCTCACAATTACTCAGGTGAAGATGTCGGAGGTTTGGACATAAGTGAGCGATTTCTTTTAATGATACATCGGTAATACCCGAACCACCTATATTAATATACTCTATTTTTTTACACGACTTAGCAATTTCGATTACTGAGATATCTGAAATATTATTACTATATCCCAAATAAAGATAAGTTAAATTTGGACATAATGATGCGATCCCACAAATTGTTTTATCCTTGATATGATGAGGCTTAGAGGCCTTAATTGCATTATTGTAAAATTTAAGAAATAGTAAGTTCGGATATATGATTTTTCCAATTGTTTTGCTAGAAAATCCATGGCAGTTGCTTATAGTTAAGTGACGCAGGTTCGGACACAGTCCTCTAATCCGATATAAGGTTCCACTAGAGACTTTACATCTAGAAATGCAAATATCGATTAATTTTGAAATATGGAGAGGTTTTTGTGTATGTATCACTTCTTTGAATTTTTCCCAGTAGCTAGGATTTTTTTTGTAACCATTGTCAACGAATTCGACTCTTCTCCATAATATTGGGGCAGAACATAAATACCACAACCGGTTAACAAATAAAGTCGGGTATAAATGTTTTATCTTCAGCAAGATATGATAAAATTTCAGTTAAAAGTTCAGGCAAGGCAAGTGGATGAAGGCCTAAAGGGTCATGATTCGAAGAAGAGACAGAGTCTCAAATCTCCGATTCATCGCCTAGACCCAAAGGGTCATTGCTCTGCGGTAACGGCCTGCTTTGCAATAGTTTATTATATGTCATACTTATGTATCTTTAGATACTAGCTCCGCTATCTTATGAGATTATTCTTTATGCGATAAATAACCTTTTTCAATGAGTATATTTTTAATAAATTCATATAAATCTGCATCATAGCTAATTTCAACGAGATCTATACCTTCTCTTTGACATATCTCCCGCTTTTTTTCGTCACGTACTTTTTGTTCATCCAGATCAATTTGTCCTCTCTTATGGAACATTGAATCAAGACTGTAGTGTTGGATTCCCTGAAATTCGTATGCCAATTTTAGCTCTTCATTATACCCGTCTAATTGCATCCCATTCAAAAATGCCAGTTTACAAGATGGAAATTTCTTACCTAACAGGTCTTCGAAAATATATCTACAGCGACGTTCATCGGCGTGATGGAAGCAAAGTGGACACCATTCAAATTTCGTAGCTATTAATGGATATGGATATTCCCACTGATGCTTTCCGTTTTCACAGGACCAGAGATATACATCAAAATCATTTATTTGGTCAGTTTTCATAATACAATGTCCACCACGCTTCCTGACATATTGTTGCGCTTTAGTCATTTTATTAATAACACGAACGATATTAACAGATCTGGAGTGAGTGTTTTCTTCCAATATACTCTGGGGTGGATACTGAAGCGTATCAATATTCACGTGCATGAGTTCTTCACGTACAAATCCTCGCTTTGGAGGATATTCATCGTCATCGCTCCCAAGATAATATAAAACTGGTTCGTTCTTCGTTACCACAATTTTTCGAATTTTATGAATGCTTGGACTGAATGTGGGATCCGTGGCTCTTTTCTGATTTTCCATACCTCCTTCCCATTCCGCATTAGCAAGCAGATAACGAACACTATCACCCTTCTTTAACTTATTCTCCTCATTTTTCCCAACAGGACGTTTATATTTTGTGGATGGCCGAGATTCAACCTTTTCTAATTTGATGGCTTTTATTGGTGCCAACCCCCACTTCGAGGATCCAGGAGCTCTAATAAGACGTGTTGGATAATTATTTAGGTAATCGATAACTTCTGGCAAATACTTGACCCACTCTCTTATTAATTTATGATCTTTAGATATTGATTCGACAGCATACTGGATTTTATAAAGCATCTCTGCTAACGTCTTATTGAATCGTTCTACAAGAGCTAATCCACGATGACTATAAGCACCAATTACTCGAATTGTGACATTGTGTTCTTGCATCAACAAACTTACCGATTTTTTAAACTCTGACCCGCCATCACAATGTAGAAGCGTCGGGTATGTAAGAGGGTTGTTTGGGGTCGTCATAAATTTTCCTGAATGCTTTAGCAACCTCCGAACTTTTCTTTGATGTTAGTGGAACTGATGCTTTGAATCGGCTAGAGATATCCACTATGTTGAGAACTGCTACCCATTTTTTACCTTTATAATGATCATGTGTAAGGAATAAGAGGTCGCACTGATGTACACAATTTGGCTTGCTAATTTTTCCATAACTCACTCTGGAAATGTATCTAGGAGGTGGTGCATATTTTTGCCATTCACTTTGATTTGTGAGCCATTTTTTAATCGTAGAGAGCTTAAATTAATGTCCCTTTTTCTGACATTCATCTCTTAACGTCTTTGCGTTGGAGAAATAACCAGTAGGACGGTAATATATTTCTCGCAATATAAGATTTTTTTCAATATCACGAGCTTCATTAGGATCTATAATGATACTAGGGTTACTCATTTTGGCAAGTCAGGGTAAGTCAAATATATTATGCCATAAAAAATAACCATGACATTTCGTCGACCACATCCCAATCAAATATCTCATGGACCAAGCTCTGATCGGGAATTGGAATTGGAGCAGGTAAATCAAGCTTTGAGAGATGAGTTATCTAACGAAGCTTCAATCAATAGGTTGAATGAAAAATATATAAAGGATCTGGAGCGTAAATATATCAGATGCGAGAAAGAAATCCAATCTCTCAATAGAGAATTATAACAGCTTGAGAATGCTTCAGAGTGGGAAAAGGCAGAGTTGAGATCAGAAATCTCTAGCCTTCGTATACAAATCTATAATGCTAAGAAAGAGGTTCGAGATAAGGCTTCTCATATTGCCAATATAGAAAAGCAATTACAAGAATCGGAAGAACATGTTCAAAATCTGAGGTATAGATTCAAAGTTATTTCTTCCCGAAGAAGCTCTCCAAGTTTATATAATTCAGAAGAGGAAGATACAGATATGGCTCATATAGATCCCTTTGTAAATATTAGAAGAGGGCTAGTTCGGCTTGAAAATCATTTTAGGGGTGGTACACCATTAAACAATCCAGCCAATATTGTCCAAGGTATATACGGCACTTTAAATACTATTAGGGCTAATTATCAAAGAAAAGACCAGGATTTAGATGATATCACAAATCAACGAGATGATCAAGATGCTCAAATAGTACAATTACAACAGGATGTCAATTTCTATAGACAACAAAATGCCAACCTTCAGAATCAAACCAATCAACTTATTCAAGCACAAGATACCTTGCAAACCATGTCAACCAACTTATACCAGAACGAGATACCTTGCAAAACCATGTCAACCAACTTATACCAGAACGAGATACTTTGCAGAATTGTGTCAATCAACTTGCTCAAGATCTTAATAATAGCCAACAAAGATATAATTTGCGAGGGCATTTGTGGTTTAATGCAAGTCTGATATGGGATGAACAGTCAAAACTCAAACATGTTCTTGAAATAATTTATAAGGCATTTATTCATCACTTAGAGCAGGAGCTACAACAATGCCGGGCTGATAAAGGATTATTAGAATATAATCAAGATCAGCTCTTTGATAGATACTAAATAAATTTAAGGTTCGCAAGGCAAGTCATATCAAGTGGAAAAATAGAGAGCGCAATTCACAGCAATTAATTTTAAATTTACAAGCCCAAATTTATTACTACAGAATAATATACCACATAATCATAATAACAATCGAACAGGTATGGTGGGTTATGAATTAAAAAAATTCAATGGATATCCTACTGAAGATCCCGAAGAACATATTGAAGAATTTAGATTGTGGCTTGTAGGTTCTGGAATAGATATAGGTGCTGGCCATGCTAATAGAATTAATGCTCATGGTGTTTTTATAGCATCTCTCAAAGGTGATGCTAGAAGAACCATCCATGGAAAAAATTGGGAATTGAGAAATTTACTTGATAATACAGCACAAGCTAATTTAGGTGCAGTCCAAGGGCGAACAGCGCCCCAGTTAGGCATACAAGCATTAAATCGGGCTAATGGACAAGCTGGCAATATTGTAATTCCAGCTCATACAGTATTTGATGAAGATTGGTCTTTTGCTGATGGACGACCAACTGATCGCTTACCCAATGCACCCAATACTAATACAGGTAATACTGTAGTTGTAGCTGGAATTAGGCTTGGTCAGGTATTATATTGGTTTAAGACTAATTATCCCACAGTTACCACTGAAAAACAGCAAGTTCTCTTTGGTACAACTGTTCAAGGAGGTGATCCAGTTGTCATTTTTATTCTAATTTGCATAGATTAGCTAGGCTTGCTGGTATTGATGAACAGCAGATTCGATTACAATTTCTTTGTGGACTTTCACCCGCAAATCAAATGGAAGTTCAATGTTTAGGAATTGAAAAATCTGTGAATGAATTGCTCCCACGACTCGAAGAAATTGAAAGATATACAGCGGAACAATTATCTGGAGCTTACCTGCATTCAAACTCAGATTCAGTATCATCCAGTAAAGGTCATGGAAAGAATAATTACTCAAGCAATATGGGTATGAGTAGAGATGAAATGGAAAGCTTTGTAAAATCTATTATAGCTTCATCACAATCTCAACCAGTTTTGCAAACTACCTCTTCTAAATCTCAGGAAAATCAATCTAATCAAATCACGCTTTCACAAGATGATTTCAAAAAAATTATAGCAGGTTTAAGGGAACTATTGCTAAAGGACAACAGACTTTAAAGAAACCTCCTGGTCCTGGAAAATAAAAAGCAGATGAACTTACTATGAACCGTTTTTTAGATGAAGCTACGGTGCAGATCATCTATAATCATTAATTGCTTGTAGTAACAATTGGTCAACTTCAAAATACTAAAACAAAAAAAAATTATATATATCATTTTAAAAAATTTAACTGATAAGTTTTATTGTTTTTTTTTAAACTGAAAATTGGCAGAGCCTTAACATTTTGAAAATTCCGAATTTTGTTATACACTTAAGAAATTGAGACTAAGTAAATTTCGTGTAACAGCTTTTTTTCATAGAATATTTTCTACAACATACATTTGATTTATTTGACTTATTTATTTCCTTTTTTTTATTAATAAAT